AGACATTCACCAGGAGACTGTACCTTTAAGGGAGAGGTCATAAGTGGGCGGTCCGGGTTTTGGGGGGTCGTTGCAGTTGGCACCTTACTCGCTGTACAGAGTTTGTTATATGTGAAGTGGAGCGTAAAGTTGACTCGACGCATCTCCGTCTCTTGTCTCCTTACTTATCACACTCCACAATTGGGTGACCCCGACGTGATTCAACACTACGGAATATGTCACACAAATGACGGTGGTGAAAATTCTGCCGCTGCGGCGCCGGCCCGCTGCTAATGTCGTGAAAATATCTACGCTGCCACCATCAAGTTACCGAACTTTGCCAGCATCAACCCAAGGCGTGTTTCAAACATAATCGAGGCCCAGTTCCAGCTGAGGGAAAACACAGACTTTACGAAGTATTCCACGTTGAGCGGCTTAGATGCCTCGACGACAGCCAGGGCTATGGCGCTGTTAGAGCTCCTCCGGCTGACGCAAGTACCGACGCACTCAAAGCGTTCCTGTTTGCAGCTCTTTTGAACTGCGGAGCTGGAGAGAAGCAAGAACCGCCTGCTGTCCCTGAACGGCCTTGGCGACAGCAAGCCGTCCGAATTAATGGAGAGATGCTGGCCTTGCTGTGCCTCGGCATATCCCTCATTCCTGTTTGCCCACCATTTTTCCTGCGGCAGCTTCCAGCACCCCGTGCGCACCGCAAATGGCCAGTTCCCCCCTCCTTCCTCCAGAGACTACCGGCGCTAGCTATGGAGCGGACAGGAATTTTCCTCCGCCAACCGGCAGCAGTTTTGTCCATGCCGCTGCTGCCCCAGCACACGGCTGCCCCACTCCCCACCCCGGAGGACGACCCGACACCGCAGCTGCTGTGACGGCCCCCGACAGCGTGAGACGGTGGTGCCTATTACCATTCCCAAAGGGGGGGGGGGGGGGGGGGGGGGGGGGGGTTTTTTTTTTTTTGGGGCCAAGGCCAAGCAGTGGCGCCAGCCATGCCGTTTTGGGCGCCCAGGGAAAAGCCCGGAGCGGCGCTCATTAGCCAGCTATGGGCCGCTGCCGTGACCTGGGCAAGCTTGTTGTTCATCACTGACACCTTGTCCGGCCGGCGGCTGCTGGTCGATTCTGGGCTCACGCAGCATCCTGAACGGCGAAGCTGTGGAACCAATATGGCTTAGCGGCATGGCCCCCCGATGGACGCTTGCCAACGTGTTCATTGTGGGTCACCACAATGTCTCCATTATTTCTGTACACAACAACCTAAAAAACGTGTGGATCCATTGCCCTTCCCTATATTGCCCCTCATGTCTGAGTGATCTAGTAGATCATTAACAGTCACACTATTGGACCTTACTGTTAACATAAAAGCACCCAAGGTGAACTGGCACACAGCGTTCGATTCCATTAATATGTTGCTCAATATGCTGCATCTTTTTATAATTAATGGCAAATGATGATTCTAGCCGTTTATTGTAAAAGAAGGAGATGCCATACCCTTTATCACACAGAAGAGACCAGACTGGAGCTCGGATCTGCAGCCCTCATCCAAACTCACCATATCATGGAGTTTCTCTATGAATTGGAGAGGTCCAGAAGCCTGGATATAAGGGAACTTCCCTGGGGAATAACAACGCATGGCACAATTAAGATGTCTGAGCAGGGAGAGCAGTTCTCTTTTGGAAATTACTACTGCCTCCTGTACTTTCATTACCTCTCTGATGTGATTAATTGCATCAGGATGCTATCTAGAGTGATGCCTAGAACTCTATAGCCTTACATGGCCTGATGTTTCTCCTCGGATAGTGGAACGCCTAATGTTTAAAAGGTATATTTAAGAGAAGAAATGCATGGTCTGATTTTGAATTGATAGTCAACTAACAGAAAAATGTCTAAGAGATGGAGCATAAAAGCAGTTGCAGTTATTTAAAAGAATCCAGCAGAGAGCCTCTGATAAGGTGTCAAATATTTTGGGGCTACTGCGACAACCAAAGGTGAGCCTGACTGAGAAGTACATTTCTCTTTATTTAACACCGAACAGGTCACCATTTTCACCAGAACAGGCCATTTAACCATCCAAGTTGCCAAGTTCCCCTTTAATTAACTGATGGCATTGTCGATGATAGCATAAAGTAAGGAAAAAAGTGCCAGAGGATTTGTCCCCGTCCCCAGCTCAGGGACGCTCACTGGTGTTGCAGTCCCAATCTCCACAGGGAACGAACGAAGCCGCCTCTCAAAAGGATATGATGATATTTGCCAATTGGATGCTGCTGTCTCAAAAAACATGTTTCAGGGTGGAGTACCTTTTTAAGTATAGGTAGGTGAATAAAACATGGCACAGGAAATGAAAGCATACAACCAACATTATTGCTTGAAGCAGTTTAATTACTAGTATTCATTTAGCAATAGCAGGAATTTGTGCATTTTTTAAAAACAAATTCTAGCCAGAAATTGTACACAGTAATTAATAATATTTTGCTGGGAAAAGTGTGTAAAACATAAGCCTACATGATCAAACAATCACAAAGCATTAAGTTAGAGATTGTAGAAAATCTTTAACTATTTATATCATCTAATTAATTCAGTTGTGAGTGGTTTAATGATGTCACTGGACTCTCATCAGGTTGCAATTCAGATTGCTCTTAACGCCTATACTCTTCAAGACATAGACAACTTTGCAATCATCCAGACCATGCATTTTGACTTTTGTCTGATTAGTAATTTTCTCAGTTATGATGAACATTTCATAAGGGGGGATGAGTACTTCTGCCTCGTTGAAAAATGAATAATCTTTCAAAAAGGCACCTGAACATGTCTCAATTTTAAAGCAGGTCTTTTTACCAAACTGGATCAGTTTTGTGTTTTGAGAGCTGGAGGCGAAACCAAGGCGAATAATTTGGTTCACTTTGCCAGTAAACTTAACACTGGTTCGTCTGTAAGCTGTTTGACAATTATAGTTATTATTCAAGATCTGTATGGCAGATGTCAGCAGGAAATGTAAAGAGTGGAAATTGAATGAGGAGCCATAGAATCTCTTTTTTGTTCGGACTTCATCATTAAACTCCTTGTACAGTTTGTTACTTGTATAAACACAGATTGCTTGCATGTGATATTTGGTTAGAGCCTGATCCTTACTTTCTTTTAAATTATTTTCAGTGCATTTTCTTATCTCATCATCATGATCCCAGGCAAAACCTTCTTTTTCAAAATATTCTATCTTGACCGTGTCCATCATTGCTTCATTGCAGCCAAAGTACATATCATCAACTGAATCTTCAGCCATGTTCAATTCAATGGCTTTTTGTAGAGTGTTGAAACTGATCTAAAAGAGAAACAAAGAAAAAGATGAAGAAGGAGGAACACATATAATTCTCCAAGTATCACTCCAACTATAATAGTGTGTCACTGTTATTTTAAGCAACAATCACACGTTATTATATTTTAATTCTTAGAATAAAGAATATTAGAATATTACACTATAAAGTAAGTTAGCTCAACTCAAACTTTTTGAGGAAACAATTGCCTCAAACCATTTACGTTAATTAACTCAAACAATTTAATAATATAATATATTTGATTTGAATACAAGTAACTCAATTATGTGTTAAGATAACTATGGTAAATTAATTGTACTAATTGCATTCAGTTTACTTGCTAGTTTTAAGATTCACTTAAAACTAGAAAGTATATTACACTCATATACAACATTTCTCCAAAAAATGTAAAACATGTTAACTGAATTTATCAGAATAAAATAACTTAAATTCATCTTCTTTATACAAATGTTACGACTTGAATTTACTCAGTTTTCTTCCACTAAAGCAAATGTTGACATTACCTGTCAAAACAGCTGACATACAATAAAAACAATTTACGATTAATCAATTATCTGAGTAGTAGGCAGTTAATTTTCTGTGGATCATCTTATCTAATTCTAACTGCTTTAATTAAGTTCTTAGTAATAGCCTCCTTGTTTTTTATGTGACTGACATTAAATCTTATATATGGTGATTTATAAACCAATGAAAACAAAAATTTAAAAATCCTAGGCATTATAGCACAGTGGCGCTTACATTTTTGTAATGATATAAAGCTACTTAAAAGAAAATGAGTCAATGGAAGAAACTGGAATTATATCACTAATACTGTACAAATGTGAGTTATTTCTTAGCTTTAATTCATGGGATTTGAGTGACTGCACATTTCTTTGAGGATTAAGTCATCTTAATTTACTTCTTTTATACTGTTAGGTTTAACAGTGTAGTAGGACAAAATGTAGGTTCTGTTCATTATAACTGGTGCCTCAACCTGTTATAATCGCATTTAGAGGATTAATCAAAACAGATTTACTAATATTAAAAGTTAATAAACTGAAGATTGAATCAGGGTATCCTAGTATCTTAAACAAGATTTTAGTTTGTGCTTGGTCTTAAAATTAAGAATTAAAATGTTTTGCTTCAAAATTATGTTTGAACAACTTTTTTAAAGTAATTCTGTAAACATCCTTCACTGTTAACATTTGTGAAAGTTCGGGAATGTCCACTGATTCTCACATGATACCGACATGGATTTAGCAGGGCAGCATACAGAAAACGGAGTAATAACACAACGTGAAGGCGAAGATCATCATGTTTCCTCTTCATACTCTTGCAGTCGGAAAAACTGTTTCTCTGAATCCAGAAGCTGCAACCAACAATGAACGGCGTCACACTGTGTACTAGTAACCAAAGATATAATACAGATACTTGGCATGGTAAAATTAATTTTTTCATAAAATTTGATTTGCGCAGCTTAACTCACGCAGATCCTTTAGGAATGAGAATATATCTGTGCTCTGAGTCAGTCTCTCAGGTCAGAGGTTCTTTGATCAGACAGTTCCAGGACTCAGCGGTCGACTATATACACGAATACCTGGCCATTTGGGTTGCGACAATGTCCAACTTGTCACATGTCATTGTTACATACACGTACAACTACACATCCAACAGTAGGCAAAATGGATGGGCAGACTAAGTGTATTTTTTTTTAAACCATTAACTGTGGCCTTTGTAAACTGAGA